GAGGTTTAGTCCGATGCTCATATAGACCGTGTAGGTATGCCACGCCATGTGTACGCTGTAGCGGTAGCGCTCAAACGGAAATCAGGACAGCCACGCCTGCTGGTGCGTCGAACATCTGGCTCCAGTAACGCGCATCTTCGAGCTGCGCTGGGCTCATCACTCCACCTTCGTTGGGATTCACGTGCTGCATATGCCCAGGAATTATGCCATCCTCCTGCTGTGCTGCATATATTGCCCGATTTAAAAGCCACCTGGAACCTCAAAATACCCGCAAGATAGAATATCAGAACCAAATCTGTTGGAGGACAACAAGGCTAGGAGACCAACCATCTCAACACACACGCATCTGCCTTGTGCAATGTACCGAAGGCCCACGGGTACGTGTCCGTGGTATGCGAACAGGACCAGCTGGAGAGAAATCCTGCGGAAATGCATGCAACAGGTTACTGCTACAGGGTCACAGGCTTTGGCCTCTAAGAGTGACTCAGGTCAAAGGTTTGCCTTTACATGTGGGGTTTGCAGCTTGGCGTCGGGTGTCATAAGACAGGAAAGTCCACAAAACCAAAGAAGCAAACCAGAGCAGGAAGCCCAGAACTCGAGAGCTTTGACAACTTAATCGCTCCTCTGAAATGGCAGGCGAACTGGGCAAGAGATTTCGAAAGCCTGGGCCCCACCCCACAGGAAGCCGACCTTGGCCAGAAACAGATATGTCTGAGCATTACGCTTTGCTGCTGTCAAACCTACTCATATACTGCCGCTACTACTGCACAACTGCAACTTCTGCAACTACTTCTACTACTTCTACTTATCGTACTTCCCATGCTTCTCCTACTTTTCCTACTTCTCCTACTTGTCATGCTTCTCTTACTTCTCCTACTACTACTACTACTACTACTACTACTACTACTGCTACTGCTACTGCTACTACTACTACTACTACTACTACTACTACTCCTACCACTGCTACTACTCCTACTACCACCACTACAACTGCTACTACGACTGCGACTACTACTACCACAACTACGACGACGAC